CCAACTGATGCGATGCCAAGAGAGAACTGAACACGCACATGGCGATGTCTGCCTGCGGCTTCTCGTGGCAGCATTGATGTTCATAGTGGTTTCCATGTTATTTTCCATTATCCCCATGTAACCGCAATATAGCCCCTATATAAACCCTATATAACCCTATAGTTATAGTAGTGTACATTTTGTTTTCCATTATCCCTATGTAACCCCAATATACCATAGTAGTTTCATGCGCACATGGGCAGCCCAAAAGGCCTTTCTGGAATCGCCCATGACCACAACCTGGCGCATGGCAATGGCACGAGGCCCGAACCTAAACACTTGAACCCTAAAATCCTAAACCCTAAACTCTACACCTACACCACTGCACTGCTCTCCCACCGCCGCCCCCCTTCAAACCTCAGATACGTTTTGACTCTTCCAGGGACACATCTTTGAAGCTTGCTCCCCTGACCGTTTTACAGCATGGAGAAATCACCTGGCTTGGAAATGTATCTACAACAAAACTGGCTCCGGAAGTGCAGATGTACACAGCAAATAGCTTCCTTCGTGGTGGGATAAATGGAGCATGCAGGATTGCCATCTGGTGCCTTCCGGCCGTTGATGTAGGTCACATAGTCCCCGTGCAGCTTCTGAGCAACAAACATGAAGTGAAGTATTGAAAGCTAGGCTATGTCTTTGGCTTGCAGCCTGTGGGTCAGCACCAGATTGTCAAGGAATTTTTACTCTTGAAGTGGCAGCTAAACGACCCTGGACTCTCGATGAACGCTGTAGAATCGCCGGTGATAGTGATAGATGACAGGCCCTGATGCCGGGCAAATAATAGAGACACTGGGTCTTCAGTTTACATCTATTCGTCGAGCGAAGCGCTCAACACTTGCCTGCTTGACTTTCTCAATCTCCCTTGCAGTATCCGCGAGGGCGGCAAGACGAGGAGGTGCTGGAAGCTTCGCCTGCTAGGGCCCAAACAAGTGGCGGTCTCCAATTATTGGAGGTATTTTCGGGGGTCTCTGCAATAAGGATTGCAACGCATTCTGTGTACATAGGGGGGCCCAGATTTTGAGGAATATCCATTGCTCCATGACATATCTTCTAACCAAGGGCAAGAATGAGCAGACTGTCCAGCTGCTTCCTACTGCTTCAAGCTCATGGTGCATTGCATGGTCCTCATGGTGTTCCAGGGTGCTGTTGGAAGAGCTTGTCTCCTTAGCTGCCACAGGACCTTCCCAGGACTCTGACTCGTCTTTTCTCTCTCTGCCAGGCTGCTACCAGCAGGTGAAGCACCAATGCTACGCACAGACCTCGCATCTCCACAACAATCTTAGCCCTGAAAAGACACAAAGGAGCGAACTGCTGACGGCATGCCAACCGGAGCAAGCATGACGCTGTATGCAGTGTACCTTCTGCTATTACAGATTCTGCTGCCCACATGTTGGCCGTATAAAACATTTCACCAAGCTCAACGTTTTTGGCCTTTAGAGCTGCATGTCCAGCAAACGTAAGCAAGATGCCCGTCAGGCCGCTGAGGCAAGAGCAATGACGGCTTCGCGCCATGCTGCTAATATTGTCCATGCGCTCAAAATCGCTAGGCGTACCTAGCCTGGTGGCCAAACGCAGCGACAAGAATTGCATCACGTGCAAGCAATCAGTGGAATTCATCAACCAGCGTGGGACATCTAGCTGCGGATTACGAGCAGGAAAAGTACGTACCTTTGTTTCCATGTGCTTAAATGTTTCGCGACAATGGCAAGAAAAATCAACATCGACATAACTCTATACTCGAAAAGCAAGGCAAACTGTCAAGTAAAGTTACACTGCCGTCCCCAAAGCTCTCCGTATTGGTTGAGTCAACTTTCTTCCATCCCAAAACTTTGACTTATGAGATAATGCCCAGCGGTAGCAGGCATTAAGGACCTTGGCAGCCATCTTGCCGGCAAAGTTGCGCCTCTAACGCCGCTTGCATCCTGCTGCCTTGGCACCTGCACCACACTCACATAAATGCGCGTCCCTTCATTTGAAAAGTTCTGCAGACATTTCGGCGTGCACGGTTCTTGGTCTGTATCCCCGTGGCTGTGTCTATTGCTCTGCCTGTACTGCTGGCGGGTACTATGTCGGAGCTGCTGCTGCCGCTGCTGCTGCCGCCGCTCCTGCTGCCGCTGCTGGCTGCTGCTGTAAGCAGTGACAGCAGCAACAGCAGCACCAGCAGCAGCAGCAGCAGCAGCGGCAACGTAAGGCGGCTATAACACTCCGGTGCTTCAGGTATCACAAAGCTGCACATACCACTTCGAGGTAAAACCTTTCTTTGCGTCACTGCTTTTGAGTCGTGAGTTGACACGGGTTCTAGTTCCAGTCGTTCACCCTTGTAAGATGTGCTTTTCAGCATGGGGTGTGATGCGAAGAGCATCTGTGCACAGACTGGCAAGCATGGCAAGCGAACCCTGACCTTTTCTCACGAGTTTCTGCATGCTCTTTGGCCTCCGGTTGACGCTCAGACTCTGAGCTACAGTCACCACTTCTGACACATCTGCAGACGTTCGGAAATGCTCCTTGGTGGCAGCTACATTTAGCCTTGGAAGTGCTACACTGCTACACTGCTACATGTCATCACTCTAGATTCGAATTGTACATGTGAGGACAGCGAGGCTTCCTGTCGGCCATGCGTTGCTACCGGAAGTGCCTGGATTCACTTCAATATGTGAACTCATGCAGGCACGTTGCCGGGCCGAGTGAAGACCGGCACGCTGTATGTCCGGCCGAACTCAGGCCCTGGCAGGTCAGGATTGTATCTGAATTCCTTACGGATTACGAGTGCAAGAACGAGCCTGAGCTTGGCGCTGATGGCTAAACAAAACTTTGTGCAGACACGTCTGCTGCGTTCTGGCAAAGTGCTGGCTACGCGAATCCCGCCTCTAAAAGCTGCCCGAGCTTGGGAGGTGTGCAGCCTGGAGAAACAGTTTTGGAGAGGTGGCAGCAGCTTGGATCTTCCAATTAGAAGCTCGCGAATAGTCCGCGCAGCGATGGTGTGTGCCTACATCACATGCCTGCGCGTTGTGCCACTGCTGGTAGTCGAAGCGTCCAAGGGCGGAGCATTGCACCGGCGGCCTCAGGGGCTGACAGAGGTGCAAAACACCGAGCCCAAGGGCCAAACATGGCCAAACGTGCCAAACGCACCTCTGCGGCTGCCTCAGCGGATGCCTCCGCTCGAATCCTGTCAAAAAGTGCACGTCAAAAAGTTGAACCGATGTCACGCAGCGCTGGCATGCTGCCTTGGCAGGAGCTCCGCAAGCGGCGAAGCTCGGCTGCCTGGTGCAGGGCTTTGTAGATTGAAAATACTGCTGGTATGGAGGGAGCAGCTGGGTTGTTCCCTTTGCTGAATCTGTCCTCCAACTCAACATGCCAAGACCATGGCACGCAAGCAAGTACCAGTGTAACAACACCTAGGCATGGACTCTCCAAAACGTTGCAGGTGTGGAGGCGTTGGACAAAGGTACCTTCCCTGATCTTCAGAACTTGGCATTCAGAATCTCTTCGACATGTCTGACACGAACCTGACTCTAAAATCAAACCCGGCGGTGGACAGCCTTCTGAGCTCGTTGGCTCCTGCACACGCGCGGACAGACGGCTAGAACTTTCATCATGCAAAAGATACAGACTCGACTTGGCCGTCTATGGCAAGAGCTGGCAAAGTTGGTCTAGAGCATGCAGGGGTTGCACACGCATGGTTCCTGCAACCAGCCCTGTACGGCGGCATCGGCTTGGAGCTGTGCCAGGAAAGGATCCTTGGAGAACTTCCAGATGACAGGAACTGACAAAGGACAAGCAAGCGAAGCTCCCGTGGGCAAACCCTCCAACATGAGACAGGGATGCACTTCACACGCAGACCGAGCATCTGAATTCATGCTGCCCGTCCACAAAGGTCCCCAGCACACCTGTGTCGCGGCATGAAACCAAAAGATTTGACGAGCACGAAGTTGCGCTTTCGATGAGCAAATACCTGAACCCTAAATAGTAGTTTCCATTGTCATTTCCATTATCCCAATATATCCCTAATATGTCTCCTATATATCCCCATATATCCCCTATATCCACCCATAGTCAAGCTAAGGCACAAAACCCTAAACCCAGCTAAGGCGCAAAATCGCTGGAATGGCAGCTGCGGCATTTGGGCTTGGCGTGGTTCGCGCCTTGGGGTGCAAGAGAAAGCTGCTTGCCCTGAAGGAGGTAGCTTCTCTTACCCAAGTTACCAAAAATCTACTATAATATATTATTGTATACTATAACATACTGTATTATACTATAGTATACTTTAATATACAATGATATACTATGATATACTATAATATACTATAGTATACTATATAGGGGCATTATATAGGGGTATCATAGGGACATAATATGGGGTTTTGGGTTTCCCAAAATTAGGGGTACCCTTTCAGGGGTCCCAATGATAAGGACTATAATACATTAGCGTCTATACTGGGGTCCCCCTACTTTGGGAAAATTTTCAATTACCAACATCACTCAACCATTCCAGGACGACTGGGCTGTCCAGCTGCCCAGGAGGCTTTCATCTTCAATTGGCCCCATGTAGACATTGCAGTTGCAGCAGATTCCGCAGCTGAAAGCCCTTAGGCTGCCTCAAGGCTGGGATGGAAAGGATACACTAGGTGGAGGTTTCAGTCTGTAATAGTGGTATAGTAGGGATATCCGCCGACCCCGCTCTGCG